GCTTGTGGTCTATATTCACGGGAAAAAATAATTATGTTTCCAAAAATATTGGTTGATCAATATCTATGTGTCATTATGAGCATATTTGTTCACGAGATATATTAACCCTAAAAAATCTCGAAAATAAGCATGAATTCAAAGTAGGCTGGGCTTGAAAGGTAAGCCTTATGTTCCTTACAGTCAAACATACAATGTGGCATGGAAATAAGCCGTCCTTGAAACTAAGCATATAGTTCTGGGTATCGGCCTAGATAAGTTTTATAGGTAACATCGCATAGTATTATTTATTATTGAAACAGGCTCATAACGGGGAAAACATAATATGTATAACATTATAATTGTCCATACAAATAAAGAAGGACTTTGCCATTGAGGACTCTCGAAATGACTTGAAAATAAGTGAGCTTTAAAAATAAGCCATTGATGACTTACTGATAATGAAAATAAGTCGATTGTAGGGTATGTAAAAAGCATAACGTGCCCACGTAACGATCTGCGAAGTGTGTGCGATCGAATATACGTAATTACGTAAACAACTAATATTTTTTTTTTTTAAAAGTCGACGTTGTGGAATACCTGTTTATGAAATATAATAAAACGTCACAAAAACAGACGGACGAGTGTCCCACAATGCATATTACCGTAAAAAGAGTTATATATTTTAATGTATAAATATTTATCATGAGCACTTATAAGAACAAAGATCTTTAGATGAACATTAATATTTCTATAAACATCAAGATTTATTGACATGATATATATTTATTTTCGTTTGCCATTTTGTTTACTTTTGAAACCTATAAATCACGAATTAACTTTGAATGAGTGTCATGTCGTGACGTCTGTTGCCTGGCCGTTTTCACCTAATGGCGTCATTGAAAGATTAATGTTGACATTTAGATTTCCTGGGCCAAATGATTCAAAAAGGTTATTTAGCTGAATAAACCGGTAATTGTGCATGCTATCTAGAATGCCTTGACTCAGTTAAATGTTGAATCTTAAAGATACGCGAAAATTAAATTGTGTGCTTATCACTGCTTAAGCGGATCACCTTTTGAAGAAGCTGGGCCCTGGGCTTAGAATTCTCCAGTTACTTGAATAAAATGCCTTAAGTCCATGGTCACATGGATCAAAACTGTTAACATAAAATATCCGTTTCCTCAAAAATAGCGATACATCGAGTGATGATATTTGGCATGCAGCCAAAATATAACAAACCTACAATTACATAACCGACCTGTGCAGGTCTGTTTCTAAAAGACGATCTTCAGAGTGTTACTTATAACTATACCTAGCACTGTCAGTGAAAGTTAGATCATCCAAAGACGTGTAAATAAAACGTGACATCGACATTTTTAATTTGGAAAGGGGCATTAGTCAATAAAATAGACAAATAAACAAATAAATAAACTATATAAAAGTATTTAAAGTACATTTTACGCCTTTCGTGAATTGTAATTATCGAAGAGGATTACGATTGGCGGAAAATGTGGAACGATACAAAATTCATGATTTACTATGAAAAGAAACAATTGGTTTGGTTTTGTCTCTAAAATAACTGTGCAGAAAAACTGCATTTTGTGTTGGTAAGGTGAATATCTGTAGGTAATGCCTATAGCTTCAGCTGTCAGTCGTAAAAGATGTCTGGAGTGATGTCACGCTGCTCATGAACATTTATCTGTTGAACAAGACTGTAATTCTGCGATGTTTTCTGACCCAGGTTATTCTAGGTACAAGCCAAAACTATGTATGCATGGAGAAACGTTGACGACGAAATGGCGTACAGAGTGTTTAGGTGTACGCTATTACATCATGGAAGTGCGCAAGTGACTGTCTCTATTGTTTCCAGTTTAAAACACGAAAGAACATGAAAGTTGTGGCGGAGAGACAAACTTATTTATCAGTCAGCCATTTGTGTTAACTTAATAGCACTCAAAAGGAGCTAGTATCACAGTACATGTAGGGAACCAAAATTACTATACAAAAGTAGGTACGGAATCTCAAGTGAACCCAGTGGTATACGTTTCATCATTTTGTCGATGTCACTGTGCTTTGGGAGTCAGACATTTTACACCGATTGAGGAAAATCTGATTATTGTTGATTATCATAAATTGTTGAATCAATATCTATGGACTCCTGTTGACAAACATTTTACAATAACAAGCCCAAAATAGTTTAGAATGACATCGACCCCGCCCACATGTCTGCAAACGGTCAGCAATGGAAACCTGAACACATACCGCTTGTTTGTCGTGGCATTCAAAGTCTCTCGATATCAGTCTTATAGACCAAAATATACACAATAATTAATATTCGTCTACAACGAACGCAACACAACATCAGAACACAACATGAACTCATTGAAGTCGTACAACACATATGGACGTATCTTACACCATCTTACATAAACACACTTTAGTTCTTCCCCGAGACGCACGCGGGCTTTAATTACTGCTAAGGACATGTAACGACGCACTAAACTTTTTAAGCAAATCCTTCAGTTATATCTCTCAAGCAAGACAGATATATGTGAACCTTAAAATATGACGTCATGAGAACGTAAAAGACGTATATATCGGCACTGCATATCATTTAAGAAAAGTATATAAGGTATTCAGAAAACAGTAAAGCAGTAGGATTCTGAGTTTTAAAAAAAAATAGGATTCGAACTCCTGACCTGAAATTGTTATACTGCCGTCCTAACCGACTAAGCTGCATTGTAAACGGCAATGACCTTGACTAACTGTGCTACAGGTATATCCAAAATGAAATATCAAAGGGAGGTTACTCTACATAAGAAAAACTACAGTGTAGTGAAAAAGCGATCCTTAAAACTCTGTTAAATAAATTCAATAGTTCTGTTCAACTTGTAATTTCACATTCCACAAGAAGTGCGGGAAAGTAACACCCCCCTCCCTGGATAAATGATGAAGTAGTAATGTGCTTTAATCTTTATTGAATGACATGGATCATTTAAGTTATAACATCGATTCAACTACAATGCGAAAATCTGGTCCGTTTGTGTCGCTATCCATCTCAAGTATAGAAATACACGTTATACTAAGATCTCAGATCTTCGTCCAATCACATGATCATCCCCGGTATATAGATTGTAATCCTCTATTCGGGCTGCACTGTTGCACGAAGGTCCCTTACAACAAAAATAACACACTTCCGGTTGGTTGGCAGGCCCCTTTTCTGTGTTGTACATGCCGAGACATACTGGGTTGTTCATAGTGTGAATCCACCATTTATCATAGCAGTCCTCTTCACCAACGCATCTTCAAATAACAGGAAACAAACATGTACAAGACACATTCTAAATTGGAAAACAATGATACTTTATACCGGAAACTTTTGCCCAATCAAACTTGCAACCTTCGGCCATTTGAGATGGAAGTTGTTTGCTTATTTACTATACTAAAGAGTTATATGTGAAATATTATTTCTATTTTTTCACATGAAATATCTGCGCTGAGAGAAACACCGGACATTAAGATTGTAAAGCAAAGATTCTATCAAACGCATTTGCTGATTGATTTGCTAAAATTTTCTTTTGTAATCTAACATGGAAAAAGAAAAAAAACCGTTTCCCACTTAAGGCACCGGCAATCTGTATTTGCTAAATGAAGGGGACATATCCTAATGTAAACAAAGGATGTATATTTTCGAGGTCTGAAAGTAGAAGAAACATTTCAGTCGTTACTTACTCACGACTGAAGTCTCGTGTCCCGTGGCGGTCCTGTCTAATGGTATTCATGCAGTAGTCTTTTCCTACTTCGCATGTCTTCAAATCAGTTGATTTGCAATTCGTGTCGTTACATGTGTAGCAGGAAGTAGGTGTTGATAACGCCGCATGTGTAACCGGAAGTACGATTGAAGGGGCAGGCGTTGATGCAAATGAAGTCAAGGGCGATTGCGTCAAGGTAGCTGTGGTAGAGGGCGCTGTATTTGTTGAGGCTTCAGTCGAGGGCGTTGTGACTACAGTAGTTGGTAGGGTCAATATCGTCGGTGTTGTTGGGGTTGGAGTGACAGGGGGTGAAGTGGACGGTGTGGAAGTATTTGTATTTAGGATACTAAATATCCCAACATCAGAATCGCGAAAATATACTTAAATAAATATAGATGTAAGGTTTAAGTACTAATATTTTGCATTGATAATTTTATACAGTTTTATAAAATTCACAAAGGCAATAAAAAACCATTTTTTTTTATGAGACACAGCACGTCCGAGTGTATAAGTAACATAATATTTCTGACACATTATACCATATGAACGTATACAACAGTACTGATAAACACATATTTAGTAAGTGATTAAATTTAATATAAAAACAAATTGCTGTCGGTTTTTGCCCAGACACATTCATTGTAACATTAAGATTTACCAGTATAGTTCTTATGTCTAAAAAATGAATGGCTAATCTCGTTCTTAATGAAAACAACTTCCATTCAAAATGGTAAACGATATGGTTGTTTTTAAGAAAGCAACTCCCATAAAAATGAACATAAGAACAAAATCATGGTAACGCGGATCACTTTCTTTATAAAAGCAACTTCCAGAATAACTTTCATATCTTTTTCTAATTCGTGGTTAACGCTTATCTCTTTCTAAATAAATTCAACTTCAATGAAAATAAATAAAAAAAGCATGTGTCTCTTTCTGTATTAAAACAACATCCATACAAAAAGGAGAAAGCAAACATTTTACTTTTTAAAAACAACGTATGTAAGAAAATCATAAAAAGAAGAAAAATATTAAAGTAAACGCTAAATTCTTTCTTTTTAAAAATCAGCTGCCATTAAAAAAAAACACGGTAAACGCTTACCTCTTTCGTTATAACTTCAACTTTTATATCTTTTTACGCTTATCACTCTCTTTGTAAAACAACTTAGATACACAAACTTACTGTTTCCACATAAACATAAGTTACACTGCCGACCAATTATTTTTAGACTGCAATAATTAGTCGGGCACTCGTCTGCGTTCGTCAGACAGTTGTTTTCCGGATCTTCGGTAGGTGCTGGTCGTACTGTTGTTTTCGCCATAGTTACATGGTCCTGCACAGGTTGGTGACTTGATGGTTCTAAATAAGAAGTTCTTTGTATGATGTATTACATTAGAATAAGTAAAAAAATAATTCATATTACATTCATGTATATGTATGATATAGTTTGCTAATTGTCATGTTCAAGATAGAAAATTAAGATAGCATCAACACACACGGAGTAAAGTAGGAGGTTAAAGTCACAATCCTAACAAAGAAGACACAAAAACCGAAAAGAAAACAACACACCCACAAACCAGATCGATGTTTTTTTAGTTTTTTTTTTTTATCTTTTACATCATACAGTTTTCCTATGTAAAAGGTTAGAAATCTTAAGATTCATTTTATCAAATTTCTCAACAATTAACAAGTTGTTATAAATATATTTCATTTTCTAAACTTTTCAACATACTGTATGATACATTACGGTGTGATACAAATAGAGATACGGATGCTGGGAAAAAGTACAATTTCAATATATCCAGATTACATATCTGAATCCCAATGTTGAATTGGGGGTAGCTAAGTGATAACAAAATATTAAGATCACATATACCGTTTGTATATGCTTGGAAACCTGGTCCGCCTGGAATGTACTGGCTGTAGTCGAATCCGTTTCCGGCCTGCATAGGTCCAGAATTAGGGATATGAGAGTTATGTCCAGGACCCATCAGAAACTTTCGCATCCTTTGAACTGATGTTATAGAAGGATGTTATGGAGATTATAATAGTGTTTTAATGATTTCATACAAACATTCAATTCACCATATTCTCGTTATACAATTGATCCTGTGGATTTTGACGCGATTTGACTCGGAAATTTCGCGTAGGCAATTCTATAATCTAAATAATCTATTAATAAATATTATTTTTGTGGATATTGTCGCGCTGATTCATTCAACGAGAAACACGCGAATATTTCTACACAGCGAGAAATTTCAATTCAACAGTACATCAATGGATAATGTGACAAAAACTAGAGCTGTCACCAAATGATAAAAAAAAATAAAAAAAATCACAGTCACATATACGCTTCCGTTTATAAGCTTATTCAAAACACCGAGAAGACTGCGATCATGATCATATAATCAAACGATTCGCAAAAGGGCATACATTTCCGGAATCGACAGAAATAACACAGAATCATACAGTGAAAAGGCAAAATTGTAAGACATATGTTTTATGTTAAACTTGTAAGTATTATGCTTAAAGAGGAAGGATGGGTACTTATGCACGGTACTGCCACTACACAAAATGTCTTGAAGAAATCTATCAAAAAATGAGCAAATGCATAACTGGAATTTATTTTACGTCATTTGGCATAACTCTCTTACAATGTAAAAATGACAGAAGCGCAAAAGTTGTTCAGGGGGTACACTACATACTGTACTGTCACTACATAAAAAATTGTATGCATTTGACCAATCAAAGACGAGCATTTAGTTGTTTTTGAGGTAATTACATATCATTTTGAAAAATCAACAATGCTTGCAAACAAGATGAGTAGAAAATAAAAAGTAAAGTAAACAACTGAAATTGCATTGTGACCTACATGAAAATCCTTGTACTATCACTTGTTCCAAAAACGTTATGTTGCATTACTTGTGAAAATGCAGTATAAGATATATACAATTACCAGCTGTTTCCGTTGAGCTCTCGTTCTCTATGTTAATACGTAATGCTGGTGGCTGTTTTCTGTATATAACTGTTAAAACAAATTAGAAATATTAATGTGTGTTATGTGTATGTCGAAAAATCTCTCTTATTGCATATTCATTACAAGACTAAATGCTTATACATACCGGAAGGAAATCAAAATGCTTGCATGTAATGGTGGGGGAACACAGTACTTTCAGGTAATGGTGGGGGAACACAAAACCTTCAGATAATGGGGGATCACAATGCTTTTAGATAATGGTGGCGGATCACAATTCTTTCATTTAACGGTAGGGGATCACAATGCTATATAATTGATCAAAAGTATTATATTATGAATAAATTTCCTTCCATACGACTGAAAAGTCGTATGGAAAGTAATTTATTCACAATATTATACGCCGTAAGTCTTGGGTTCCAAGCACGACCATGTACATAGAATGTATAGCTTGTATATCGAAATACGAGTACGCCACATGTATAGAAGCTACAGGGGTGCTTGCCTCGGAAACAACTAAATGCAGTGGACAACTAAACAACAGCAGTAATTGATAAAGTTAACAATTGTCAATGCTCTGAATAATCAATTTGCAAGTAAAATGTGTCTGCCACACAAACCGCCCATGGCATCAGAACTTCGACATTGTGGTCTATAGGGCGACGCAATATACATAGTTGCAAACTGTGAAATAATGTATTATTAATATATCTCAATATCATGAAAATTATATCACGTGACCTGATGAAGATTTCACGCAGTCGCAGAACTGACAGGAAGTTGTTGGATCAACGGAGTCTTCCATCTTTCTGATTGAGCAGTTTGAAGGGCAAACGTTCGAGTTGACGTCACATGGCTTCTGAAGGGCAACGAAGGTTTGACCTAAATCAAATGAATTTGTTTACATGTAAACATGAATACTTTGTTACGTAGTCCTGTTACCAGCATCCTAGATATTCCAGGGGTTACGCTCTCTGCACCCTTGGAATATGTCATAGCAAAATGGAAGGCTAAGTGCGCCCCACCTGGCGGATGACACGAAAGAACTAGTTTTATCCTTTGATGCACATCACAATAATCTGTCGGTCGCGTGACGGTAAAACTGAATGGATTTTAGGCCGGGTGTCGCTCCCTTAAGGACCTGCATCAATCTAGTGATTGGTCAGGATATTTTGTACCAGAGAACAATCAAATGGCTAGTCGCGTGCCTTCAATTTTGCTATGACATATTCCAGGAGTGCAGAGAGCGATGAAGAGCGAAAACCCTCGAGAATAGAGGATGAATACTAGGATATGTCACTAGTTAATTAGGAATACTAAGATATGTCACCAGTTAATTAGGAATACTAGCATATGTCACCAGTTAATTAGGAATACTAGGATATGTCACCAGTTAATTAGGAACACTATAGAACTGATGCTTATGTTATTACTGCAAAAGGAAAAAAAGGTCAAATTTGTTATCATAGTTTTTTGTGCAAATAACATCACAGTTATGAAACATTTGCTCGAAAGTTCGACCATATACAGAATGTAATACAAAATTTCGAAAACTGAACTACTTAGTGACTCATTAATTTGAAATTATAAGATACGAGTACTTTCAAGAAAAAGTTGCGAATTAGTATCTCTAAATGAAATACTAACTCAAGTTAGAAACAAGTGAAAAACAAATAGAAAAATGTACATTGCTCTAATATTCTTTCCTACATCCATAGCTCAGTGAAATAATGTGTTGTACAAATCAATAAATGCAATAGCAACGTATCAATGGTACCCACATATCATGACTGCAATGATATTTCAAGCGTGTAACTGTTACTTACCATCTGGGCAGGTACAATGGAAGCAGTTCCACGACCCCACTCGATAATTGGTCACGTGACACATTGACGGACAATAATCCGCTTTGGGCAAACAAAACATTTCCAGGAAGTTCGCAGGGTCTAGGAGGACATATAAAAGTACTCGAAAATAAAAATTAACGCCGGTATTCTGTCACAATATATCGTCTATGCAGTAACAACATACAACACAATACACTACCCTGAGGTTAGGCAGGACTGAGATCATGTTAAGTACTAAATACTCTAGATTCCTTACTCCTACTCTAACTTACATGTAGGAGGCAAATTCAATTTCTTATTTCTCAGAAGGAGGGCATGTTGTTTGTTTGTTTTAATGAAACAGAGGTTCCAGAATCAAAATCCTCTATTTTTGTGTGTAGCAAATACTTTCAAAGATAAGAACAAAAGAATTATCTCAACTCGAAAAAAAAAATCGTGCAAAATTTAAAAAAAAGCCGTAGCGCATAAAGGTTTATGTTGTGTTCAATCAAGTATTGATAAGTTTACTTTCGGGAAACAAATGAGATGAGTTAATAATGAACCTACGTGAAGAACAAAGAATAACAATGGAGTTAGTGTGTTCATAGAATAGATGCACTGCTAAGAAAGGCACATGTATGAGAATTATGTATTACCTTATTCATGTTCGCTTGCTACGATACTTCTTAGTCAACCATGATTTGGTTTAACTTTGTTTAACGTCCTATTGACAGTGCATGTGTGTATATGTGCAGGAGGCAGGATACGTTGGGGTATTGGCCTCCTTGTGATAGCAGCATCATAAGGACTACATGTTTTAGAAACGCATGAACCCTGCTCACTGATTAGATTTGAACTGCATTCTGGCGAATAAAGTACGCTCGACATCTGAACAGAGTGTTAAAAACACGAACTACATGATTATTGAGTGTCTATCAACAGCCTTTGTTAAGATATTGACTGTCTGTATATCGGGTCGTGAAACATAAAGGAAGCAGTGTTTGAGTTACCTATCGTTGTAGGTGGCGCTGTTGGTGCAGTTGTAGTGACAGGACGGGGAGTAGTTGTTGCGGCGGTAAGTAGGTCTAAAAATACAAAACAATTACTCCGCGAACCCAATAGTCTATTTTTACATATGGTCTGCAATTGGATTAATGTAAGATTGAAAGTAATGGTACAAAATGTTAAACTTCCGGAAAGGCTATCTGTATACAGGTATACGACGGAATTGAGCATAGCTTCGAATAAAATTGATCAAAATATTTGAACTGTTTATTAATTTTCTTTTTATCACATATATATGCTAACGTAACGTGATTACATTAACCAATCAATCGGGCGTGTATTCATGAAGCCGTTCTCACGCTCAAACTCAGATAATGTGCTAAAGCCAATTTTTTTGGTTCCTGATCGAGATAAGATGTATAGCAATTCACCTCCTAACAACGATTTGGATAACATTTTGGATAAACATAGACCCGAGTACCGTTTTCAATGATTCAGACATGACGTATTGACTGTGAAAAAGATTTTAACTAGTTTCAAGATTGTTTGATTGAGCAAAAGCGTCATGCTTGAGCATGAGAATGGTTTTATCTCTCAATGTTAAGACAAGCGGACCCCGATACCGTAGTATTGACCATTCCTTGGTATGTCATTACCGATATACCACCAAATCCCTTTGTTACGCCAACATTTCGCTTGAGAAATAATGGCGGTATAATGAGGGTTTCATTATTTTTATTTGAATGTCCATTGATCGTCGACAGTTCTGTTACATTTTTCAAAGACAGCGTTCTATCGATCTACTAGCCACCTTAAACGCTAACCACCGACTCTTATAGATTATCACACTGTGTTTCCATTTTTTATTTTTAAAGTGGTAACTTTATAATGATTTGTTTATGACGGACCATTTATTACGCTATTCAACTTTGTGTGGATACTTTATCCTGAGCAGACGTTTTATATATTTTTTGTTGTTGTTGAGAAAAGACGTTCCCAAACAGGAAACTCATTCTCAAGTCGTTCTCAACGTCTTCGTTAGTATCCTTATACTGACATACTATGATAATCAATTTATCCCGCCGCCGGTAGGTGGTAACAAGCAGTGTATAGATGATGAAGCTGATTATCATTTAACGTCGAGGTTCAATATGTATTATGGATATATAATTAAAAGCCATACCTGGATCACACAACTACCTTGGCGTCAATAATTAAATCGTTCCTCTAATCAGTCAACCTTTTATTCAATTTGTGTGATCTTAATATTGCAGTAAATGACCTTACCTTGATTCTGATTATCTACACACTGACAAATACGACATCCATTGGATGTCACTGGCAGGTGTTGGCCAGCTGGACAGGTGAGTATAGGACACGTAAAAAAGGGCATGCATGGTCTGTTCCAAAACTCGTGGTGCATCACTAAAATAAGAGTTACAAAAACATACATATGAAATGGCAAACACGGTTTATTACTGAATTAACGAATGACAAACAACTGAGCAGTGGAATATCACACAATGAACAGCATAATTCAATGGAATATTAAACAAAAAACAGGGTAATTCAATGGAATATTAAACAATGAACAGCAAAGTATGTGAGATATCACATAATGAACAGCAAAGGTCAGTAGGGTAATTAACAATAAACAGCAAGCGTCAGTGGGATACTAATCGGTGAACGATAAAAGTTAGAGGGATATCACATAATGAACAGCAAAAGTCAGTTGGGTAATTAACAAGTGACAAAAGTTAGTGTTACCAATCCTGACCTTGACCTACCCCCGTATGGTTTTGCCTTATCCTATGGAACCCCCACAAACTATGATAACACTCTTTTCAAAACAATAAAACATTTTAAATAAATAAATAACTATACGTAATAGGTACTCGTCAACACCGTACTTGGAGGAGGTCCATGTCCATGTTCAGGATTCTGATTTTTCCTGACCAGGTATGCTTGCTCTCCAGTCGATTTTACCTCTGAAATAGTACATAAACGTTGTAAACAGTAATACCCTACTGCCAGTTTAGTAACACAATCACGATCCATTTGTATAATAAAGGTACTTTTATAGTCAATGTATTCTTATAATGCTTGAAACATTCTTCGTACAAAATCCTTTTCAGAATAAGGAATACATATTAAATAAATTGCTAAATAAATAGATAGATAAATAAACATATTTTGCTTTGCAACAATTTGAAATTAATATATTAAGAAACTAAAGATGATTGGAAAACAAGCCAAGAGCTGACCTATTTCCTCTCCTATATTGGACATTACGACACAGTGTACATGGACATTTGCACATATTAATGATGACAGATTGACAAAACGGTAACGAGATATGGAGATGTAATTATTTCTTAGAGAATGAATACAGCACATCGGCTGTTAGCTATTTGACAGATACATTGGAATAGAATTAAAGAAGATAAAGAAATAACAAAACAAAACAAAATGAAGACTTTGTGTTACCTCAGTGGTGTAAAACAATACCTATTATTAAAGCAAACAATATATATTCAAATATTTTGCTGTTGATGATAAAGTCATATACGGCAAGAAATATTTCAGAATTTTCCCATCAATTAATTCATTATCCCCCCATTTTGTATGTCATATATTAAAATGGTATTTGATCAAAACTGCGGTCTTCTTTGAGTGTATTTGTTACATTTGAATAAAAAAGGATAATTGTCTTCTGTGCTAAACCAACAAGAACAACGTTATGAGTCTATAAGGTTTTTATGAAATAAATGTTTGCTGAGTGAGCTACATTTGAGTCTGAGTCTTTAGTGGAGTATATGACCTTTGCGATTACCTGCGTTGAAGTAGCTTGGAGCGTTTGTTGTATTACCATTGCTAGGTTTAGTTTTGGGTGTATGTACATGTACTGATGAATTTTCTCTTATATTTTGTGGTAAATTGTTCCATGAGGGTAAAAAGAGTCTTTGTATATCTTTGTGCTAGTTTTGAGGGTTGTATGTAAGTCAGTTCTTCTTGTATTGTATATGTGGTTTTCAGATATTCTTGGAGGGACTAGTGAGAACAGATATGTAGGTTATTTGTGGTTGACCATTTTGTGAAACTATATTAGTTTATGTTTTCGCGACTTTTTGCTAATTGTTCCCACTCGATATCTCTCTATATAAATTAATTGCTAACTATTATTTTAAGTTTTAAGTTTCCCGGTATACATTATGCTAGTGAATCTGGAAAATGGTATATAAACACTCCTGCGAAATTGTAAACAAAACATTCAGCTAGATTGTCTTTTTTTACAATTGAAATCGTACTTAAGGATGTGTAGGTTACCTGGTAATCTCATTTCATTAACGACCTGATAAATATGATATGAACAAGTAATACAAAAACATTCTTTACGACGATGATGATTTGGGCACTACCAGACTCCGAGGCCTTAAACTGTTAATATAGACCAAATTGATCTGCTGATCTTTTTCATATCCTTTCTTTCCTGCCCCTTTCTTTTCAATCTTTTTTTCTGTATCGGGCGGTGTCACCCTAGGCACCAGTCCTCATATGATCCTGGCTGTTGTGTCTCCCCAGGTACCCATCCTCATATGACCCAGACGGTGTGTCCTTCTAGGCATCCATCCTAATGTGACCCTGGCTGTTGTCTCCCTAGACACCCGACCTCATGTGACCCTGGCTGTTGTCTCCCTAGACACCCGACCTCACGTGACCCTGGCTGTTGTCTCCCTAGACACCCGACCTCATGTGACCCTGGCTGTTGTGTCTCCCTTGGCATCCTACCTCATATGATCCTGGCTGTTGTGTCACCCTAGGCAGCCGACCTAATATGATCCTGGCTGTTGTGTCTCCCTAGGTATCCATCCTCCCGACCTCACGTGACCCTGGCTGTTGTCTCCCTAGACACCCGCCCTCACGTGACCCTGGCTGTTGTCTCCCCAGACACCCGACCTCATGTGACCCTGGCTGGTGTGTCCCCCTAGGCATCCGACCTCATGTGATCCTGGCTGTTGTATCACCCTAGGCATCCGACCTCATATGATCCTGGCTGTTGTGTCTCCCCAGGTACCCATCCTCATATGACCCAGAAGGTGTGTCCTTCTAGGCATCCATCCTAATGTGACCCTGGCTGTTGTCTCCCTATGCACCCGACCTCATGTGACCCTGGTTGTTGTGTCACCCTAGGCATCCGTCCTCATATGACCCTGGCTGTTGTGTCTCCCTAGGCATCCGAGCTCATGTGACCCTGGCTGTTGTGTCTCCCTAGACACCCGACCTCAGGTGACCCTGGCTGTTGTGTCTCCCTAGACACCCGACCTCAGGTGACCCTGGCTGTTGTGTCTCCCTAGGCATCAGACCTCATGTGACCCTGGCTGTTGTGTCTCCCTTGGCATCCGGCCTCATGTGACCCTGGCTGTTGTGTCACCCTTGGCATCCGACCTCATATGATCCTGGCTGTTGTGTCACCCTAGGCATCCGACCTAATATGATCCTGGCTGTTGTGTCTCCCTAGGTATCCATCCTCATATGACCCAGGCGGTGTGTCCCCCTAGGCATCCGTCCTAATGTGACCCTGGCTGTTGTCTCCCTAGACACCCGACCTCATGTGACCCTGGCTGTTGTGTCACCCTAGGCATCCGTCCTCATATGACCCTGGCTGTTGTGTCTCCCTAGGCATCTGTCCTCATGTGACCCTGGCTGTTGTGTCTCCATAAGCATCCGTCCTCATGTGACCCTGGCTGTTGTGTCTCCCTAGGCACCAGACCTCATGTGACCCTGGCCGTTGTCTCCCTAGTCACCCGTACTCGTGTGACCCTGGCTGGTGTGTCACCTTAGGCACCCGTCCTCATGTGACCCTGGATGTTGTGTCACCCTAGGCATCCGACCTCATGTGACCCTGGCTGGTGTGTCACCCTAGGCATCCGACCTCATGTGATCCTGGCTGTTGTGTCACCCTAGGCATCCGACCTCATATGATCCTGGCTGTTGTGTCTTCCTAGGTACCCATCCTCATATAGCCCAGACGGTGTGTCCCCCTAGGCATCCGTCCTAATGTGACCCTGGCTGTTGTCTCCCTAGACACCCGACCTCATGTGACCCTGGCTGTTGTGTCACCCTAGGCATCCGTCCTCATATGACCCTGGCTGTTGTGTCTCCCTAGGCATCTGTCCTCATGTGACCCTGGCTGTTGTGTCTCCATAAGCATCCGTCCTCATGTGACCCTGGCTGTTGTGTCTCCCTAGGCACCAGACCTCATGTGACCCTGACCGTTGTCTCCCTAGTCACCCGTACTCGTGTGACCCTGGCTGGTGTGTCACCTTAGGCACCCGTCCTCATGTGACCCTGGATGTTGTGTCACCCTAGGCATCCGACCTCATGTGACCCTGGCTGGTGTGTCACCCTAGGCATCCGACCTCATGTGATCCTGGCTGTTGTGTCACCCTAGGCATCCGACCTCATATGATCCTGGCTGTTGTGTCTTCCTAGGTACCCATCCTCATATAGCCCAGACGGTGTGTCCCCCTAGGCATCCGTCCTAATGTGACCCTGGCTGTTGTCTCCCTAGACACCCGACCTCATGTGACCCTGGCTGTTGTGTCACCCTAGGCATCCGTCCTCATATGACCCTGGCTGTTGTGTCTCCCTAGGCATCTGTCCTCATGTGACCCTGGCTGTTGTGTCTCCATAAGCATCCGTCCTCATGTGACCCTGGCTGTTGTGTCTCCCTAGGCACCAGACCTCATGTGACCCTGACCGTTGTCTCCCTAGTCACCCGTACTCGTGTGACCCTGGCTGGTGTGTCACCTTAGGCACCCGTCCTCATGTGACCCTGGATGTTGTGTCACCCTAGGCATCCGACCTCATGTGACCCTGGCTGGTGTGTCACCCTAGGCATCCGACCTCATGTGATCCTGGCTGTTGTGTCACCCTAGGCATCCGACCTCATATGATCCTGGCTGTTGTGTCTTCCTAGGTACCCATCCTCATATAGCCCAGACGGTGTGTCCCCCTAGGCATCCGTCCTAATGTGACCCTGGCTGTTGTCTCCCTAGACACCCGACCTCATGTGACCCTGGCTGTTGTGTCACCCTAGGCATCCGTCCTCATATGACCCTGGCTGTTGTGTCTCCCTAGGCATCTGTCCTCATGTGACCCTGGCTGTTGTGTCTCCATAAGCATCCGTCCTCATGTGACCCTGGCTGTTGTGTCTCCCTAGGCACCAGACCTCATGTGACCCTGACCGTTGTCTCCCTAGTCACCCGTACTCGTGTGACCCTGGCTGGTGTGTCACCTTAGGCACCCGTCCTCATGTGACCCTGGATGTTGTGTCACCCTAGGCATCCGACCTCATGTGACCCTGGCTGGTGTGTCACCCTAGGCATCCGACCTCATGTGATCCTGGCTGGTGTGTCACCCTATGCATCCGACCTCATATGATCCTGGCTGTTGTTTCTTCCTAGGTACCCATCCTCATATAACCCAGACGGTGTGTCCCCCTAGGCATCCGTCCTAATGTGACCCTGGCTGTTGTCTCCCTATGCACCCGACCTCATGTGACCTTGGTTGTTGTGTCTCCCTAGACACCCGACCTCATGTGACCCTGGCTGTTGTGTCTCCCTAGGCATCCGACCTTATGTGGCCCTGGCTGTTGTGTCTCCCTAGACACCCGACCTCATGGGACCCTGGCTGTTGTGTCTCCCTAGGCATCCGGCCTCATGTGACCCTGGCTGTTGTATCGGCCTAGGCATCCGTCCTCATGTGACCTTGGCTGTTGTGTCTCCCTAGGCATCCGACCTTATGTGGCCCTGGCTGTTGTGTCTCCATAGGCACCCGTCTCATGTGACCCTGGCTGTTGCGAAGACGTTAAACCCCAAACATACAAATACTGAGCCTGGCTTCCAATTCTTACCTGTCATTAGGCATCCGACCTCATATGATCCTGGCTGTTGTTTCTTCCTAGGTACCCATCCTCATATAACCCAGACGGGGTGTCCCCCTAGGCATCCGTCCTAACGTGACCCTGGCTGTTGTCTCCCTATGCACCCGACCTCATGTGACCTTGGTTGTTGTGTCTCCCTAGACACCCGACCTCATGGGACCCTGGCTGTTGTGTCTCCCTAGACACCCGACGTCATTTGTCCTTGGCTGTTGTGTCTCCCTAGGCACCCGACCTCACGTGACCCTGGCTGTTGTGTCTCCATAAGCATCCGTCCTCATGTGACCCTGGTTTTTGTGTCACCCTAGGCATCCGTCATCATATGGCACTGGCTGTTGTGTCTCCCTAGGCATAAGACCTCATGTGACCCTGGCTGTTGTATCTCCCTAGGCATCCGTCCTCATGTGACCCTGGCTGTTGTGTCTCCATAGGCACCCGTCCTCATGTGACCCTGGCTGTTGCGAAGACGTTAAACCCCAAACATACAAATACTGAGCCTGGCTTCCAATTCTTACCTGTCATCACAGATTCTTTCGACACTGCTCGCTTGCCAACTAAAATAGACTGCTGACCGTCTACTGAAAAACAGGATGACAAGTTTTTAAATTAACAATATCTTACCACATGCTATCACAAATGTGTTAAGTTTGCTATTAGCATTATGTTATGTCAAAAAAGAATAAAGCGGTTTTCAGGATCGCACAAAACTCATTTTAAATAGATCACATAATGAATGTTTGTACTAAATAGGCATACAAATTCTATGTGTGTAAGTTTACACTTTTTCTGATATGATGTTGGACATACTCATTCGAGTATGGTGGCTTATACTGTTCGCTTTCACGCCCGCGAAAAGACGCCACGGGACAACACAAAAAGACACAAAAGCGCAAAAAATGATTATCACCAGATGGAGAGAGAACAAACTCCATTTTATTTCTACGCTTTGACGTTATTTTCACTTTGGTTTTGCGTTATTTTCACTTTGGCGATTTTTCTTTTTTTTCGTTATCTATCTTTAGCGTTTTTGTATTATTTTGTTATTTCCCTTCGGAGGGTTTTTCATTTTTTCGCTATTTTGTTTTATCGCTTGGCGTCTTTCCGCAGGCGACAAAGCGAAAAGACGATATGCATCTTGTATATAAGCCATCAACTTCGAGAGACAGATTTAACCTTTCTGTACTCAATAGTACCTCAGTAATTACCCGGTTTTCGATCTTGTCGCATTACATGGAGTTGGATTGGAAGGTGGCTGAACCTATCACTATATTACTGGTTTATTGATTTATCCTGTAGCTGATTAATGTATAATAAGGTTTCAGTGTAAACTAACAAATATGAACGTAACACGCTCACGCCCACAGGAGATTGTACCTATAATAGTTAGTAATAGATACAGTATGCCAAAGGGGAATTACACTGCAACATACATGTACACCTGTGGGTCACTAATCATGGATGCTGGGGGCCAGAAAGGTGGATATACCGTCTTTCTTTTCCCTATTTCATAGACCTGTTTCTCTTCCAGTGGATTGCTTTCTCGACACATATCAACATTTTACCAATTTCTCACTCCCTTTTGTATGATAATTCTCTGTTACCATGCGTTTTCCAGATAATGTTACACCTTATTATATAATGATATTATAAGTACTTACGTCTGGCATGTACATCCGGGCATTCGCATCTCTCGCACACTTTCCCGGAATCTAAGGTTACATTCCTCCGTATACATTGCAATGGACACATGGCGTTGGAGAGTACGCATGGATTCTTTAGTTCTACATAATGAACGTTGTTTACAATAGAGTGCCCGGGGGGCAGGGTTGTGGTCGTGGAGGGAGTTGTGGATGTGGTTGAAGTCGTGTCAGGCCATTCTACTGAACAAAATGAAAACGAGGCGATTAGGAAATTTTGTATTTTGTATACTTTTTGTTTCTTCACTTGTATTTACAATTTAATTTTGAATGCTCAAAAAAGATGTTTATGGATTTGCAATGTTATTGTACCAAACAACATGAACAAAAAATTGCGACACTTCCGAGTCATTTTACCTGAATCTATAGGGTTTTTGCAGAAACAGAACTCGCAATCCGTAGATCCTGACATCTTCATCAGATTACACGTGACCGGACAGATGACGTCCTGGGGCCGACACGGGTCCACGGGGGCCACGAACTCAGGGTTGCTTGATAACACACCTGAATGATAACGATTTATTTACAATTATTGGATCAAGGCATTAAAGGCCCGTCTGTCACGTGACGATTTCTCATCCCTAACACCTGGGTGAGAAATCGTGTAGTGGGGATAATTAGTGTAGTGCATGCAGCAATTTTATCACGATTTCTCACCAGAGTTAGAAATCGTGTCGGGATGGGAAATTGAGACGTAACACAATAAACGTGTACTAGGTCACAAAATACATAATTGATGGGAAGTAAGCTAGCAGTTAGATTATTGCCCAACCTATAAAGAGAACTAGAAGTAAGCTATCGTTTAGATTATTGCCCAACCTATAAAAAAGAACTAGAAGTAAGCTAGCAATTAGATTATTGCCCAACCTATAAAGTGAACTAGAAGTAAGCTAGCGGTTAGATTATTGCCCAACCTATAAAAAAAGAACGAGAAGTAAGCTAACGGTTAGATGATTGCCAAACCTATAAAAAAAGAACTAGAAGTAAGCTAGCAGTTAGATTATTGCCCAACATATAAAAAAAGAACTAGAAGTAGCTAGCAGGTAGATTATTGCGCAACGTATAAAGAAAACTAGAAGTAAGCTAGCTGTTAGATTATTGCGCAACCTATAAAGAAAACTAGAAGTAAGCTAGCAGTTAGATGATTGCCAAACCTATAAAAAAGAACTAGAAGTAAGCTAGCAGTTAGATTATTGCGCAACCTATAAAGAAAACTAGAAGTAAGCTAGCGGNTAGATTATTTCCCAACCTATAAAGAGAACTAGAAGTAAGCTAGCGTTTAGATTATTGCCCAACCTATAAAAAAGAACTAGAAGTAAGCTAGCAGTTAGATGATTGCCAAACCTATAAAAAAAAGAACTAGAAGTAAGGTAGCAGTTAGATTATTGCCCCACCTATAAAGAGAACTAGAAGTAAGCTAGCGGTTAGATTATTGCCCAACCTATAAAGAGAACTAGAAGTAAGCTAGAGTTTAGATTATTGCCCAACCTATAAAGATAACTAGATGTAAGCTAGCGTTTAGATTATTTCACAACCTATAAAAAAGAACTAGAAGTACGCTAGCAGTTAGATGATTGCCAAACCTATAAAAAAAAGTCCTAGAAGTAAGGTAGCAGTTAGATTATTGCCCCACCTATAAAGAGAACTAGAAGTAAGCTAGAGTTTAGATTATTGCCCAACCTATAAAGATAACTAGATGTAAGCTAGCGTTTAGATTATTACCCAACCTATAAAAAAGAACGAGAAGTAAGCTAGCAGTTAGATTATTGCCCAATCTATAAAGAGAACTAGAAGTAAGCTAGAGTTTAGATTATTGCCCAACCTATAAAGACAACTAGATGTAAGCTAGCGTTTAGATCATTGCCCAACCTATAAAGAGAACTAGATGTAAGCTAGCGTTTAGATTATTTCCCAACCTATAAAAAAGAACTAGAAGTAAGCTAGCAGTTAGATTATTGCCCAACCTATAAAAAAGAACTAGAAGTAAGCTAGCAGTTAGATGATTGCCCAACCTATAAAAAGAACTAGAAGTGATATGAGCTAGCGGTTAGATTATTACCTAACCTATAAAAATGTACTAGAAGTAAGCTACAGGTTAGATTATTACCCAACCTATAAAAAGAACGAGAAGTGATCTAGAGGTTAGATTATTGTCCAATATATAAAAAAAGAACTAGAAGTGATATGAGCTAGCGGTTAGGTTATTGCCCAACCTATAAAGAGAACTAGAAGTAAGCTAGCGTTTAGATTATTGCCTAACCTATAAAAAGAACTAGAAGTAAGCTAGCAGTTAGAGTATTGCCTAACCTATAAAAAGGACTAGAAGTAAGCTAGCAGTTAGATTATTGCCCAACCTATAAAGAGAACTAGAAGTAAGCTAGCGTTTAGATTATTGCCTGACCTATAAAAAGAACTAGAAGTAAGCTAGCAGTTAGAGTATTGCAAATACATAATTGATGGGAAGTAAGCTAGCGGTTAGGTTATTGCCCAACCTATAGAGAGAACTAGAAGTAAGCTAGCGTTTAGATTATTGCCCAACCTATAAAAAAAGAACTAGAAGTAAGCTAGCAGTTAGAGTATTGCCTAACCTATAAAAAGGACTAGAAATAAGCTAGCAGTTAGAGTGTTGCCTAACCTATAAAAAGGACTAGAAGTAAGCTAGCAGTTAGAGTATTGCCTTACCTATAAAAAGGACTAGAAATAAGCTAGCAGTTAGATTATTGCCCAACCTATAAAAAGGACTAGAAGTAAGCTAGCGTTTAGATTATTTCCCAACCTATGAAAGAACTAGAAGTAAGCTAGCGTTTAGATTATTTCCCAATCTATAACAGAACTAGAAGTAAGCTAGCGTTTAGATTATTACCCAACCCATCAAAGGAACTAGAAGTAAGCTAGTGTTTAGATTATTGCCCAACCTATCAAAGGAACTAGAAGTAAGCTAGCGTTTAGATTATTTCCCAATCTATAACAGAACTAGAAGTAAGCTAGCGTTTAGATTATTGCCCAACCCATCAAAGGAACTAGAAGTAAGCTAGCTTTTAGATTATTTCCCAATCTATAAAGGAACTAGAAGTAAGCTAGCGAGAACTAGAAGTAAGCTAGCGTTTAGATTATCATAAAAAGACGAAACAGCTGTATGACCGATGTAATTAAATGTTGGCAGACTTTGTCTATTACCAAATTTATTGGTGCAATCACGTTTGTGTCTTAAATTCATCTCTAAAGTCTTGGTCTTCTAACCGTTGTAAGTTCCAATAGATAGATATTATTAAATCAGCAATTGTGTACATCAATTATCATGAAATGAATTATTAAGAAAATAAACCTACCACAAATCCCCAAAATAAAGATATGTATCCGCCACTGTGTTGCCATATTCCTTGTAACCATGGTTCCTGCAATGTTAAAATAAATAAAAAAATCGATATATAACTGTGATACAGTAACGCCATCTGCTATAACGAATACCACTTATTGATAATTGATCATTAGTCGAGTTCTCTGCTGTGTAAGTATGTCCTAAAAACGAAATCCTCTACATCAGTCTCTTTCGTTTTGGAAAAAAAATATGTTCCATTTCCTGGATGTTCAATAAAACTGCGTATCTCTGAAATATCTTACAATCCGACATTTGATTACTACGATTTTTAGATAGCTTCCTGTCATTCACATTTGTAAAACCTCATATATAAACTCGGACAAAGTCACTGAACAAAACGTATCAAGAGGACTAATAAATAGGTGTTTCTGCGGGAGATAATGCTGTTTATAAAACATTAATTACGGATAATCCCCATAGCAACATTCTAGTACACCACGCATTAACAGAGGGTGACGCTGTAAGTTACACAGAAATTAAAGAGCTATGGCGGAAAACTGCCCATATTCCCCCAAGTCGGCATTTTTGAAAACGGAAAAACAATCAGTAAATAATTTCTAGCAGCGAAAATGCATAGAATAGATATAAAACCAATTGAATATGATTTTTTGAACTGCTGAGATATTAGATATTGTTAATGTGATCCTGCAAATATAGCTATATCCACTATATCTATGAAAACGATGGGGTTTCCCAGACCTAAAACAATCCTTTCAACACTTTCCCATCCGAGGACCAACTTTTGAATAAGCTTTTTTATTCCGTGATGTAATATGCAAAAACAAATCCTATTCCTGAAAAGTGGTCCTCCTTTGGGAAAGTGCTCAAAATAATGGAAAACAGGGATGAGCGAGTTTCTTAAACTGCGACATGTGTTTCTTTGGTATTCCCGTCTTCGTCTATGTCCGATGTAGCCGAATCTGTCACGCAGTTAACTTGTGACCACACGAAGCGAACGATGCAGGTTCGAATCCATGTTCAGTTTTTTGGGTTTTTTTTTTATTAAATATTTAGGCATGTGATCTTTTTCCCTAATTAATTAATAAAATATTTTTCAAATCAATAGTACATTTTATTTATATCTTAATTACAAACCTATTGATTTATCTTCTATAGAATCATGTCAACAAATCACTGTACACTTATCTATTATTTAAACACAAACAAATGATGCTGAAATACACAAAAAAAGTGGGATTGTTGCGTCAGAATAAAAGAAGACCAAGCAAACAATATAAAGAGGTATTATCACAAATATATTACCAAAAATATGGGAAAATTCATCGTTGAGGATAGTTTCATTTGTTTGAAATGCAGGAAGACTGCAGCACAAAGTAATGATCGCAATACACGTGTAAGACATGTTATTCGAAAATTATTATGTCATTTTGCCATTCATAGGTGCAGGAAAAACAAAATCAAAATGTGTGTTTTTTAAGAAAGCAGGTAACGGCATGACGCAGGCAGTAGTAATGAAAATTAAATCCTTTCAAAACTTGTTGGTAAGGATTGTACGATTGTTACATACAGCATATCATTTGTTTTAAATTCATAGAAATTACGCGAACTAAGCATTTTGTTGAGTATTTATCGTCAAACGGATGTATCAATAGCCATGGCCTTGAATTCGGCTGTTTACATTAATCTAGCTACCTGTATAAAAATACCTTAGGACGCGTCATAACAGTACACGGTGGCACGCGCGCACTATCGGTCCCATAGCTCTTTATTGGAATTTATCATGGGGCTCGTTCTATGAGCACAAAGAAGGATAAAGAAGGGCGCGCGTGCAGTGTAACAAGTTTACCAACCATGAAGGAAATGTGCGCTGCAAAGTCTTCCAATCGGACACGAACAATCCAGGAAAAACTTGTCCCACTAAGGTTATCCTTACCCAGCCTACACCCATCCTCGATACTCCATTGATTACGCTCACTTTCGCTCCCTGCACCCCTGGGATATGTTATAGCGAAATTGAAGGCTCAGTGTATACCAATGAGAAGACTAGTTTGATCCTTTGATGTACATAAAAATAACATCTCGGTCGTGTAACGGTAAAATTGACTGGTTTTAAAGTACAAATGTAGGGTGTTGCTCTTCTGTAATCTTCAAAGGCCCAAGTTCAGCCTAGAGATTAATCAAATAGCTAACCGCGTGCCTTCAATTTTGCTATGACATATTCCAGGAGTATCGACGATGATCTACAAAGGGCTACCACTTTTACAGTCAAACGTTGCTTCACCTAGTCTTTTCGTATTGCAGAATTATCTGCCCTTGATAGCAGGTCTTGATTGTTACGTCATTTGTTTGTGAGAGTAACGTCATCAATTTTTTGAGAAAACCACGTAATTTTCTCACACAAACTAATGACGTAACAATCAATACCTGCTAGCAAGGGCAGATAACTCTGCAACACGAAAAGACGGAATAGCAGAAAAGTGAGCAGATAAAAAGCTGAACTTAACCGGGTATGTATACAGATGAAAAATGGCTCACCAAATATTTTTTAAATATATAATAAAATAAATCTATTTTGTTATATCAACATTTTGCTTACACTCAAACAATACACGTATTAAAAACGTGTCGCAACGTTTGAACACCGACTGGTCCCTTTGCCAAGCTGCGATTGAGTGCTCAGTCATAGCTAGACAAAGGGACCAGTCGGTCTTGAAACGTTGCGACATGTTTGATTGGTATACTGTTTGTGTATTAAGTAAATCTTTGATGTAAACTATTTCCAAACTGATAAATGTTACTGAAAAAAAAATGTCAACAGGGATTTTGAGACCTGGCAAGATTATGGTTTACTTCTAATTTTGGTAAACGAGTGAAACACAAGTGTGCCACCTATATTGTTTCTAGATCTCTTTTGATATTTACGTCTGATAGTCTTATCGCCCCGAGTCTACAAGGTATGGGGTCAGCACCATAAGTTGTTAGATCACGTGACCTGAACTGGCAGGCTTCCAACTCTAGGGTTATTAGTTGAAGAAAAGTAGATATAAAAACGTACTTCTTTACCATTATTTGAAGGTTGATTACAGTATACATATCACGTCGATAAAACGGTACTACAGTCATGAATATATCAACTAAAGGCGTCGGCACCAATCAAAAGCCGATATCTAACGTTGATAAGAAAAAACTACGATAGGAACAGAGGACACCAAACAAAAAGGAAGACAACATCAACACTAAACCAAAAATATTGACAAAATGCCAGATTCTCCTGAAGGATAGGCATTTAGTGTGCGCTATATTTTGCCACATATACCGTCATTGAGTACAAATTTGTACTTTTTATGTACGGCGTTTTTATCAAAGTGGTTGATACAGTACCTCTGAAACATTAACACAAATAACTTAAATACAATCAATCAATGACGAGTCTTATAAGCTACAATATAATTTTCAGGGTTTAAATATTGTCTGTAGGTGTGATTGTACTACATACCTTATCTGTATATCTGTCTGATTAGAGTCGGGACACCACACAGCGGTATACCGCACGCAGGCGATAGATCTACATTCGGTATGGAGACCTGTTAGTGCCATAATGAAACTACCCTTCAACAAAACGTCACACATGTTAACGTATTATGAAGCGTTCATGGTAGTCTAACTTATTATGTAATTTCCATTATTAGTTGTACTTGTTTTACAGCGTTTGTAAGTAATCTTAATTGTTATGTTGCGTTCATGATAATTTTACCTGTTATTTCAATAATTGTGCGTGTGATTACTTTTGGTCAATAACGTCCAACCATTGTGGGGATTCGTTTTCGTCTATAACGTCCAAAAAATGTTGGGACTACTGTTGGTCCAAAACGTCCAACATTGTGGGGATAACTTTTGATCCAAAACGCCCAAACGTTATGGGGATTATTTTTGGTCTATATCGTCCAAATATTGTGGGGATTACTTTTGGTCTATAACGTGCAAATATTGTGGGGATCGCTTTTGGTCCATAAAGTCCAAACATTTTGGGATTTGTTTTGGTCTATAACGTCGAAACATTGTGAGTTGGGATTTTTTTTTGGTCTATAAAGTCCAAACATTGCGTGTGCGTGTGTGATTACTTTTGGTCCTTTACGTCCAAACATTGTGTGTGGAATTACCTATATTCTATAACGTCCAAACATTGTGGGTATTACGTTTGGTCGATAACGTTCTACAACTGTGTGTGGGATTACTTTTGTTTAATAACGTCCAAACATTATTTATGGGGATTACTTTTGGTCCATAACGTCCCAAACCTGTGTGTGCGTATGTGATTACTTTTGGTCCATAACGTCCAAACATTGTTTGAAGGGATAACCTCTGGTCCATAACGTCCAAACATTGTTGGTACTAATTTTGGTCCAAAACGTGCAAACATTGTTGGGATAATTTTTGGTCCAAAATGCCCAAACGTTATGGGGATTAGTTTTGGTCTTTAACGTCCAAACATTGTTGGGATTAGTTTTGGACCATAACATCCAAACATTGTTGGGATTAGTTTTGGACCATAACGTCCAAACATTATGGGGATTAGTTTTGGTCTATAACGTCCAAACAGTGTGGGGATTACTTTTTGATCCAAATCGTCCAAAGATTGTGGGGATTAGTTTTGGTCCAAATCGTCCAAACATTGTGGGGATTAGTTCTGGTCCAAATCGACCAAACATTGTGGGGATTAGTTTTGGTCTATAACGTCCAAACAGTGTGGGGATTACTTTTTGGTCCAAATCGTCCAAAGATTGTGGGGATTACTTTTGGTCTATAACGTGCAAACATTTGGGGGATATTTTTTGGTCTCAAACGTTATGGGAATTAATGTTAGTCTATAATGTCCAAACATTATGGGGATTAGTTTTGGTCCAAATCGTCCAAACATTGTGGGGATTACTTTTGGACCAAAATTTTGGGAATTATTTTGGTCTATAAAGTCGAAACTTTGTGAGTTGGGATATTTTTGGTCCATAACGTCAAAACATTGCGTGTGGAATTACCCATTTTCTATAACGTCCAAACATTGTGGGTATTACGTTTGGTCCATAACGTTCTACAACTGTGTGTGTGATTACTTTTGTTCAATAACGTCCAAACAGTATTTATGGTGATTCCTTTCGGTCCATAACGTCCAAAATTTGTGGGTATTACGTTTGGTCCATAACGTTCTACAACAGTGTGTGGGGATTACTTTCGGTCCATAACGTATAAACATTGTGGGTATTACGTTTGGTCCATAACGTTCTACAACAGTGTGTGGGATTACTTTTGTTCAATAACGTCCAAACATTATTATGGGGATTACTTTTGGTCCATAATGTCCAAACATTGTTTATGGGGATAACCTTTGGTCCGTAACGTCCAAAAAATATGTGTGGGGTTACTTTCGGTCCATAACGTCCAAAAATTGTGTGTGCGTGTGTGATTAGTTTTGTTCCTCTACGTCCATTCTATAACGTCCCAACATTGTGGGGATTAGTTTTGTTCCTTTACGTCCATTATATAACGTCCCAACATTGTGGGCATTAGTTTGTTCCTTTCCGTCCATTCTATTGGGATTAGTTTTGGACCATAACGTACAGACATTATAGGGATTACTTTTGGTCAGTAACGTTATGGGGATTAGTTTTGGTCCAAATCGTCCAAAGATTGTGGGGATTAGTTTTGTTCGTTTACGTCCATTCTATAACGTACCAACATTGTGGGGATTAGTGTTGTTCCTTTACGTCCATTCTATGACGTCCCAACATTGTGGGGATGAGTTTTGTTCCTTTCCGTCCATTCTTTAACGTCCCAACATTGTGGGGGTTAGTTTTGGACCATAACGTACAGACATTATAGGGATTACTTTTGGTCAGTAACGTTATGGGGATTAGTTTTGGTCCAAATCGTCCAAAGATTGTGGGGATTAGTTTTGTTCCTTTAGGTCCATTCTATAACGTCCCTACATTGTGGGGATTAGTTTGTTCCTTTCCGTCCATTCTATAATGTCCCAACATTGTGGGGATGAGTTTTGTTCCTTTCCGTCCATTCTAAAACGTCCCAACATTGTGGGCATTAGTTTGTTCCTTTCCGTCCATTCTATAATGTCCCAACATTGTGGGGATGAGTTTTGTTCCTTTCCGTCCATTCTAAAACGTCCCAACATTGTGGGGATGAGTTTTGTTCCTTTCCGTCCATTCTAAAACGTCCCAACATTGTGGGCATTAGTTTGTTCCTTTCCGTCCATTCTAAAACGTCCCAACATTGTGGGAATTAGTTTTGTTCCTTTACGTTCATTCTATAACGTCCCAACATTGTGGGGATTAGTTTTGGACCATAACGTCCAGACATTATAGGGATTACTTTTGGTCAGTAACGTTCAAACGTTGTGGGGATTCCTTTTGGTCCAAAACGTCCAAACATAGTGTTTGGGGATAACCTCTGGTCCAAGAAGTCCAAATATTGTGTGTATGGATTACGTTTGGTCTATAAAGTCCAAACAGTGTGTATCCACAGCTTTATGATAAAAAGTTGAACGCCAATATGTTGTCCTTGATCTGCTTTTCTTTGCTCATTTGCTATCACGGGAAAAAATGCATGGCTGCGATTTGGAATCAACCAATATCTGTTATAGACTCCTGTATACCTGAAACATATACACCTACCTGTACATCAATCTGAGTATCAACTCGTCTGTAATCAACATGGTATTCGAATGTCAACACGACAGCTCACGGTGGTAGGACTATAAGATTATTTTGTTGGTGGCTGTACATATGCACGATGGAGTTTCTTTGAAGGGAGATCACAATGATGTTTAAAGAATTTCCAAGAACCAAGAACTATATTCAAATTAGCTTAAACACTCTAACAATGTCCAGATCGTCAATAATGTATGATCATGGAATAACAACGCCAATTGTAACAGTAATCACGTGCATGCTGCAACTGGAGAGAGAAAAAGCAACAGCCAGATCGGGATTCGAACCTAGGACCTCGGTATTTTTAGACAGACGCTCTAAATTGAGCTACATTGGGTTTTTTTGTACCTGGGCATCGGCGAATGACTTAGTTACATTTGTTAGCTCCGCTACATTCCTCCCTTCTTCGACCCTAAAGACACACAAGACCGTATCCAGCTGTACCACATACCCTCTCAGACCAGGATTCGAACCCGAGACAACCTAAGTCTAGGCGTAGCCTTTAACCCATTAATGTCGAGTCCATTGTGCCAAAACAGGAGGAGTTCAAAATGTTCCAGAGAATTGAAATTGATTTCTCATCGTCAAGTCTAGGTTTTTAATCTACTTCTGCTCTAACACATCTAATATAGACTCTTATACATTCATTTTATCAAACTGCAACAATAGAAAGATTATGTTTTGATTTGTCATGACCCACTGGTTTTATCACTGGCCAATATGAGATGTTTGTGTTGTGAAAATTGCAAAAAAAAAAACCAACAACAAAAAACATAAATATAACGCGTGAGCAACAATTACAGTGGACGTCACAGCACAGGGACCTGATATTTGTTACAGCTTTATTTGGACCTAAACTAAGGTGTTCAGAGTAATTGTACATGTTCTAGGAGTTTAGATAGACTTTTGGTAAAAATCACACCCCCAATGATCATACATACCCCGATCTAAACCCCTAAAACATGTAAAAATTACTCTGAACACCTTATTTTAGGTCCAAATAAAGCTGTAACAAATTATCAGGTCCCTGTGGTCTACACCACAAACACAACTGTATATTTGAAAGGTTAAGGTAGACAAAGACAGATCAATTTTTGGTATGCTATCGCGCAGATGTTTAATGCTGCAAGTGAGAAGAAATATGTAAAAACACCGTCAACCGAATAACTTAAGACTGTTTACTGTTCATCACTAAAAAAAATTCTGCCACTGTCAATGCTACGCTCTATTGCGAATCATCTGTTTACATATTATTAGTTTGTCTTATGATTCATGTACTTGGAAATGTAATCATTTGTCTAGTATGATATTTATGTGTCTGATGGTTCACAGAACTTGCAATATATTCGGATATTAATTTAGGGAATTAGAATATCATAACTGTTTCCGGTTTATATATTGCTGTTGCCTAGTCATTTGTGATTCAGCCTACGATTGACACACGTTCACTGGGGGCAAATCTTTGAATGTTTTAGTAAGTTATTATGTAATGCTGAATTAAACCTTAGAACGGAAAATGTCGGGTGTTTTTGTGAATGAAACGTTTCACATTTTTTTGTAAATTATACAATTAACAATATTAAAAAAAAATGTTTCATTTTTTTCAAAGGTATAATTTGTTTTCTTATCGAACGCATCTCAGTTGGATTGAGTACTTTGAGGCCTCCTTTAAAGAAGAGCTACACAATATTATGACATGTGGTGGATTGTCTGCTAAACGATCACATGCGGTAAGAATGGGCCATCTAAGCGTAAGATAAACACATAGGTCCATATGTCTTGTAAGCTGTAGCCGTAGTTTACTCTTGCCCCAACATGACG